CCCGGCCGCAGAGCCCGCAACCGGCCCGGCTGGGGGTGGCTGGTCCACGCCCCGCCGGCCTGAGGCTCCCGGCCCGGCGGCGACCCGCGACTTCCGCCCTTCCTGTCCTCCAGCGTGGGAGGACCGTGCACCTGGACACCGTCGTGAGCCGACTTTGCCCTCCGCTCTGAGTTTTCCTCACTTCGGGTCACTCTGACCTGCACTAGCGCGAAGGCTCTTTCTCCCTTTCTGTCCTCTCCACCCCCGGCCCTGGCGTCCTCTACCCCCGTGGCTAATCCAGAGCAGGGCCCCAGATGCTGAGGCGCCGGAAGAGAAGCCTTAACCACCGCCCCAAATCTGGAAAATTCGTCGCCGGCCGTGGCCCACACAGTTCTCCTTTGTAATACATTTCAACGATATGAAGATAAGACCAAGAAAGAAAATCCACTGACGGATTGGCTAGAGAAGGCCAGCTCCCCGGGAATAGAGGTGGCCGCGTCCAACGCGGGTTTCTGCTGCCGGAGCGTCATCCTTGGACCCCTCACGCCTTGGACCACTCCTGCGGCCCCCCGGCACCAGAACACCCCCTTCTTCTGTCAACGCTTTCGGCTTGAGGTCTTGAAAAGCCCTCGCTGAAGTGGGCGACCGCCGGAACGGATTTAAACCCAGAAGAAGCCGCCTCTGGTTTATCCGGTGGCCCAGGAGAGGAAGTAACCGGAAATGCTCGCAGCGGGGTCCGATGTTCTGGGACCGCTGCCTTGGCCGCCCTCAGCATCTCCTAGAACCCAGAGTCAGCTGGGGTTGGCACGAGCTGTCAAGAGCCCTTCACCAGAGCATCTTCTCTTTGGGATTTGGAAGGGGTGGGTAGGAGATGGAACAAAGGAGAGTGCAAAAATACAGAGTAAAAATAATATATTGGCATGGGCAAAAACTGTAATTTAAGAAGAAAAAAAGTTAACCAAACAGATGAATAAAAACTATATGCTAAATAGAAGATCAAAGATTGACGAAGGCTAGAATAATTGGTTACCAGTTCCTTGGTCCCCAGAGAGTGAAGTCATTGACTAATTTTTAAAAATAGTTTTCAACAGTGAATCACCAGGCTACCCCCTTCTGAATTTCTTGGTGTTCTATTTTAAGCCAACAACAATTTTCTGAATAAAATTTCTGCCATGGTGGGAGGGAGACAGGAAGCCTGGCAGGAAGCACCCAGAACCAAATCCTTCACCCCACAGTTATCAAGTGCCCTACTGTTGCCAGACACCAAAGAAATGGTTCCTCACAAGGAGTTTAATTCTAGACTTGCTACAGACATCAGAAATGCTGGTGAAATACCTTCTGAGGCTCTAACTAAGGAGTCAGCCTCTACCTAGAGCTCTTGGTGGAGGAATCTGCCCTGACACCCAGTCTTGCTGTTTGTGTGGTCAACAAATGGAAAGTAAACATTTGATGGCTCAGAGAGGCTAGAAACATTTCTTTGGAATGGTCTTGAAAACTGAGACTGGGCCATATGTTACATCTCCACTCACAAAGAGAACTAAAGCAGTAACTCTGAAACTGAGGCAAGGTTCTCAGAGAAGCTTGTGTGGCCAGCATTTGGAGGAATGGCCACATTCTCATTCTCTTTCTAAGCCTGGTGGGGTCACTTGGCAAGCTCTAGTCCACCCAGCGCTGTCCAAGCACCACCACCACCACCCTGACATTTACAAAATAAGCAGTCTGAAATCCTTGTTTCCACACTGAAAATATTGCCAGCAACAAGCATCCAGTGGATAGTCTTATTTCCCTTTTTCTTAAATATATACATGTATGTAATATAGTGGTGATAATTGACGCTATTTTTTTTTTCTTTAAGTTACTGGCAGCAACTCAAAATCTAACCAGCTGACAATAGGCCCTTCCTCAAAGTTCTTGGCTGTTATAACAAGTTGTGCAGCATCCTGTAATTGCATACACTTGACCAACCAAGTAGTTTCAAGGGCTCCTTCCTTGGTCTCTAATTCTTTCATCCCCCACAGTGGACCTGATGGATGCCAGGCATTGTGCTGGGCACTGGAAGGGGGAAGGGAGGAGAGGGACAAAATGACAAAAGGCTATCCCAGCCTTCCAGCAGTTGCAGTCTGCCTCGTGTCCCTCCAACACACAGGCACACTCACCTTAACTAGACCTAAGAGCATCCTTCCCACTCATCACACATCCTTAGTAATAGGAAAATTTTCCAAGAGGTCGAGTAAGAATAAGATGTTTCTGAGAAATCACTGCAATTCAGTCAACTACAAGAAAACAATGGTTAAATAAAAGGTGTGAATAGCCAAGAAAGATTAGGGAGATTTGCAACCAAAGCAAGTCCTGCACACGTGTTAGCCCAACATATATAATACTTATCCAGATCTTTCCGTTGACTGACTTTTCCTTTAGAAACCAACACTGAACCAGGACCCCTTTTCATAAGGGGGAGATGGGAAGGGGGTGCTGAGCTCACCTGATCCCAGCCATCTTCAGGTAGCCTCCAGGGGCTCAGCTGGGAGCCTCCCATGAAGGAGAGTTTCCAGGATCAAGTCCCTAATTAGTTACACAGAGAGAAAACCATGAACAATTTGTGCACTTGGTGGTATTTACTTCTTTCTTCCTTTTAACAAACTGCCTTTTGGGAAGAGAGTTGTCATAAGGGCAAATCAATCATTTCAGGAGGATTACAATATGGGGAGACAACAGTTTGGCTCAAGGGCTGCCTGCTACTTTAACCCATTGTTTGGTCTCATATGAGAGCCACATGCTCAATCCTGTAAGAAAAGAGAACAGAAACAATAAGGAACCAAGGATGTAGCTTCCCATCAACATATTGTGATCCACTGGGCAGAAAATATGTTTTATGCTTGTGTGTATGTGTGTATGAATAGATAGATGTAGATATGTTTAAATAGAATAATTTTGTTTTCTGAGTTCCTTTGTGTCAGTGTATTTGTCCCAAAGACCTTTCCTCTCTGGGGGCCTTAAATTCCTAAACATTCACTGTGTAGGTAGATGCTAAGCCCATTGAGATGGACTCCCATATCCAGGGCCTCCATAGGCATTGTTTGCACAAGACAGGAGTGTCTCTGGTGATGAAACCATCCAGATTAAACAATCCCGGGACATGACCACTTTCAAGGAAGTCATGTTGACTGTACCCACTGGCCTTGACCTACCTGGATGACAATGTTGCCCTGGTGGTGGCAGGGACCGGGGCAAAGAGATGGGCCTGCTCATGCCTTAGCTGGTGGGAAGTTTCACCCAAGGGTTGGCTGGCCCAAGCTTTTACCTAGGGGACCCAGCCAACACTACTACCACCACCCCAACCCTGGCCTCTCCTAGGGTCTGGGAACATTTCCAGTAGGGACACTGCCGGTGCCCGAGCTTGGGAACGTACAGGCTGAGTTTGGCCCAGCGCAGGCCACACACGCTGTTCCATATCCGGCCCAGATACCCAGGCTCTGAGAGGCAGTCCCCCATTGTGACCAGCACTTGCCTGGGGCTGAGGCTCGGGGCTGACCCGGTGCTAACTGCCAAGGGCCGGACAATGGGCACATCTGTCCTTTCTCTGGGGGATGAAAGCACCCTAAGCGGACACGGCTCTGCCTTTTGTCGCGGATTTTTTTTTCCTTTCTTTTGTAAATGAAAGAAAGCCGCGGCATGTGGTGGCCGGGTGTACGTCCCGTGCTGGGGGCCTCCCCACGCGTCCCCACCAGGCCCAAGGACCAGGTTCGATTCCGGATTGTGAGAAGCGTACAATTATGCCCGAAGCTGAATTGATTTTCAAATCTGGAGGCCTCTCGCGGGGACGCCGGGAAGAGGGCGTCCCTGCGGGCCAAGCGGAGACCGGCGCGCCTGGTCCACCCTGCCGGCGTCAGTCGTTCCCCCAAGCAGCGGCCTCTGGGTGATTTTAACAGGAGGGCCACGGAGCTACCGCAGGAACCGCCCGAGCCGCGGCGGCCCCACTAGCACCCAGAAGTTAACATGGGAACCCAGCAGGGCACTCCCCCACACACACACACACGCCGAGTCCTTGGCGAAACCGGCGCGCCGCCTTAACTATCAACCGAGCTGGAGAAGGACCCAGGCGGCGGGGGACAGCGAGGTATGGCCCGGGCCGGGATTCTTGGCACTGAGCGCTCCTCTCTCCAGCGCATGGAAGAGGAAAGGTGGGCAGAGGATTATCAGGGAAGACAGAGGTTGCCAGGTCAACAGCCACCAAGCTGACCAAGGCTTTTAAAATATTTGCTCCCCTCCCCCCAAAAAGGACAAGCACCTGAGGAAGGGGCGAGCGCGGACTCCCAGACTCCCAGAAGCCCTCCAGGAAATAAAGCTTAGTGGGCCAGGGTGGAAGGAGTGATGACACCGTCCTCAGCTCCTCGGGCAACCTGCGCCGGGAGACAGCAACTGGAGAGAGGGGCGACGGCTCCCCAGGCACAGCGCGCCACCCGGGATGGGAGCCCGGCAAGTGCGGCCCGGGGCTGGGAGGAGAGCCCACCCGGGCCAGGTAGCCGAGAGGGGCGCAACTCTCTCGGGGTCGCGGCGGCCTCCTCAGGCGCGCGCCGCTCCCCCGCCACCCTGCGCCGCTAGTGAGGCGCGGGCCCCCTCCTTCA